AGTCAAGCTGCGGCTGTGTTACGGTGCTGCTGCGTTCTTCCTCTGTCTCTCTCTCTCTCTATATATATATTTTCTGCCTTTTTTTCACTCTGAGGCTCAGGAAGGGAGCTGGCAGCACTGCCAATGGCCCTGGCTGCTACTGCAAGAGCTAATGGAGCGCTAAGACATGTTCAATTAAGTCGAGCTATAACTGTTGACCATCGGCTGATCTGGAGTTGCTGCATAGAGTAACACATTCTGCCAGGAGACTGGAAGTGCACAGTCACTTACACAGAAAGTGTTTAAACAGAGGCTCCCAGGGATGCATGCAGGATCTGCTCGTGGTGTATGGGCTTTGCTTCTTTGTGATTTTTGTCTCTCTCTATTGCAACAGGGTGGAGAGAGAAACTCCAGGAGAAGTATCTGGTGATTGTTTTTTATCTGCTGGCAGTGCTGCTGCCTTCTCCCTGCTGGGCTGCCTTGCTGTTCACAGGATCAGACCTCCCCGTTCCCTTTTCCTTGCCCTTTCCCTCCATTTTTTTAACCTGGCGGGAGATGCTGTAGAGGAAAGGGAACTGCAGGTGCTTCACAGGCAGGTGTTGCTGCAGGCTGTGCAGAGTGCAGCAGTGTGAACCCAGTTCACTCTCTGCCCTCTGGCCCCCCCATCACCTCTGCTGCATCGCTCTAACCTGAGATGCCATCTTGACACCATGGCAAAGTGCAAGTCTTGAATTGCAGCAGGGACAATGTCCTGCTACCAAAGAGCATCTTTTCCCATCTTCACCACCTATCAAGACCAGGAGGAGATAACATGCATTTTCTTTTGGCTGTGTAAAGAAATAATGTTTCTGTAGTTACTGCACAACCTGTCTCTTCCTTTGCTCCTGCTCCTCTGATGCTTGGCCTGGCTGATTTAAACCAGGGCTGGTGGAAGGCTGAGTTGCAAAGATGCTGAATTCCCGTGGATTTCATGTATGGTCGCAGAGGGGAGGAAAGGCTAAACAGATGGGAAGGCTCTCACCTGTTTTTTGACATGTAGCTGTCAGTGACAAATGTGACCACCAGACACTGAGCATGGTCCTGGTGCTGTCATGTCATGTGTCTATGCTTTGGTTCATCCTGGAAAGTGGTGCTGAAAAACCAGCAAGGCTGAGTGATTTACTGGTTTTGCTTCCTTAGGGCAAGCTGAACTTTTGCTCAGGGCAAACCGAGGTGACTGCACATGTAGGGAGGCGAGGGAGGTCAGATCTCTAGGGCTGTTGTCTGGGATGTTGGGAAGTTTGATGGATAACAAGAGAAAGCCACAGGAATGGAAGAGTTGGAGCACAGTTTTTCAGCTGGCACCTTTACATTAGAAGGCCAAGCGAAATACCAGTTGTCCATCTTATTCCTGCTCTGGTGGTGGCGAAAACTTCATCTGGACAAGCTATTTTGGGAAAGGAGTATGCATATGGAGATACTTGATGATTTCCACTGTTTTGGCTGGGAAAGGAGTAGAGGATGATTCTGCTCTAGAAACTTCATGCAGGTAAATGTGCTCAATGTCATAATTGAACTTGATTTTTTGAGCATGGACTCTGATAACTGGTGGTGTCCCTGCACCGCTTAGGCACACAACACTCTCCCAAAGCTGCCTGGGCATCAGATTGAAAAATGCCATTGTAGGAGCAAAATCCTGTGGAAGACCAGGAGTTATAGAGGGGAGGATGCTGAAGCCTTCGAGCTTCTTCAAAGTGTTGCAGTTCAAGCGGAAGGTATACAGGTGAGACCACCCTCTAGGCATCTGTGAGCAGACAAGCAGTGTGGTACCTTTGGTGCTCTATTTTAGCTTGTCCTGGCTAAGGCTTTGCTGGTGGGAAAGTGTGGAGGGCTTTCCTACCTACAGGGCAAGGCACATGTGCTCCTGCCACTGTGTTTGTGAGGTAGACTGCATCTTGCTGTGCAAATCCAGTAGCAAACTTTCAGCCCTTCGAAGGGCAAAGGTGGCAAGGTCAGAAAATGCCAAATGATAATGCTGCAGTGCGTGGCTTCTTGCATTTATGTATCAGGAAGTTCTCAGAGAAGGACTTTTCCTTATCCACCAAATGCCAAGGCCAGCCTGGTTGGATTCAAGCGCATGTGGTAGCCTACAACCTGCTGCTGTCTTCGCACCGTTGGAGGGATAGGCTCTTCCTTGAACAAGTTGTTGGGTTGGTCGTGCCACGTCTCGACCGCAGGAGGAACTCTATAGGTAGAACTTGTTCCTTGGAGTCGGTGCCAGGTCTGCCAGGACCGGCCCCACACCATGGGCTGCAGGGCACAAGCGTTGAGACAAGACCATGATAGTGCTGCTGGGAGTGATTGCTGCCCAGTTGGCATCTCTCGCTCTTCCCTGCAGATTTTCTACTGGCTCACCTGTCCTTGGGAACAGCTCAGGGTGTTTGTGGTCCAGTGATGGGAGCCTGGGCGGCCCCTGCATCTCAGCAGCTTTTAGGAGCTCTGGCTGCTGCCATGGCTCTTCTGCAGGTCCACAGCATGCTCTGGAGTGCTTTTTTCCTGTATTGGTTTTGGTTTGGAGAGGGTTGTGGGAGTGTTTTTGTATAGCTAGCAAGGACTTTAGCTCTAATCTGCATCCTTATCTCACCCTGGCTGTAAAGCTGGAGAGGAGGCAAGGTACAGGCAGCTTTTACTGGGTGAGGCTGCATGCAGGGGAGAGCGAGTGTGGGGCACATATGCTGTCAGTAAGGGCTTCTGGGGGACAGCCCTGTGTGATGAGATGTGGGGCAGGGAGAGGACACTGGCACTGGTACTGCATCCATCAAGCTGCTTTTGAGGCTGGCAGTAACAGCTGGTGCGGTTGGAGTGCCAGCACTTGGGGATGCCCTTGCCCTAAGCTGGAGCAGCAGATTGTTATCTATATATGAAGCTGTGGCAGTGTGAGGTCAGGAAGGGTTTATTTTTACCGATGTGTTGGGTGTGCTGGGTGAGGAGTGCAGGTTGCCTTATTCTGCCCCTGAAACAGCTCCTGTGTGCTTTGGTCATGGGTATGTGTTCTCTAGCCCTACTTTTTATTTACTGCCAGGGAGAGGAAATCCAGCCCTTTTTCACCTTGTGGGTTAGGAATAATCTCTCCTGGTGGGGACATCCCGAAGCAATGTTACCTAGTCACAAGGCAAGTGACCAGATGTGCTGGGATAGAGCAGGCTGAGGCCATTTAAATATGAAATGGCTAGGGTAGACATGAAATAGCAATGCCTGTAGTATCAGCTGGGATCTTGAGTGGTGCCCTGGGGTAGAAAATTGGCCTTGGCAGGGAAGGCTGGTTCCAGCTGGCGTTGACAGTCCTCCTGCCTGCCAGCTTCTCTCTCCTGTTTCGCTTGGGATGCTTGGAGAGGCAGGCAGGGAGAGCTGGACTGCTGGTTAGAACATCCTTCCCCAAGGAGGTGGGTGTCTCCAGTGGGAGATGGGCCCTTTGCAGCTACTCCCAGCTCTGCACCCCCTGCTCAGGTGTTGGAAGTGAATTTTTCATTGCGCTGTCCCCAGCTCACGGCATAAGCAGCTTTGAGCTGCAGATTTGGCTGTGAGTTCGCTGCTCTGGCTGTTAGAAACGAAGAGCCTCCAAGGTGTCTTCCTGCAAACACTGAGGTTTGGAAAGATGCTGATCTCCTTAGTTTTATTCTTTTTTTCTGTCCTCCTTCCCTTCCAGCCCCTCCCTCCCTCCTCAACTCACAACCTCTTAAAGATGATATGCAATGCCTACAGTTAAGTGTGAGGATGAGAACTCCTGATGGCCAAGGACTTTCTCTTGCTCTTTGTGTTTTGTGTGATGACAAGAAACAGCAGCCTTGGCAAATCCTGGAAAGTGTCCCTTAAGAGATTAACTGCCTGACTCCAGCCTCTGGGGGTTTGTGAGACACCTTGGAGTCACATGGAAATGATGCCCTGATGGGAGAGAAATGTGAATGGGACAGCAGAGATTGACTTTGAAACGGGACAGGGTTGAATTAGCCATTAAGAAGAGTGTAGGTAGCAGATTCTTTCTCCAGGTGTGGCTGCATCCTGTTTGCCAGATCTCAGACCAGGCAGTATGGTCTCTGTTGCTGCTCCATGCGTTACAGGTACAGAAACTGACACTGGGGATAGGACCTTGTGCCTGACTTGCTTGCCAGCTAATAGCAAAGGTGGAAAGAGAAGTGCCATATCCAGCGCTCCATTTGCAAGTCTCAAAGTCTCACTTCTTCCTGTGGGATTCTGTTGAGAAGATAATGACCAAGCTTGACCTTTTTTTTTCTTTCTTTTAACTTGAACTTAATGACTTTTATTGGTATTTGCATCCTAAGGAAGTGGTTGTTACTTGGTTCTCTGTGTGGTGTCCATGCACACAGCATTGTTCCTGGGGTGGTTCTCATCACTGGGAACTGAGAGCAGCTACCCAGTGGGATGCAGTCACTGTGTGTCCTCCCTGCCAGGTTGGGCAGAAGTCAGCAGTGCCACAAGGTGCAAGTGACAAAGGGAGAAGGCAAGGGCTGCTGCAAAGCTGGGGAAGGCTCTCCTATACATACTTTCTTCTTCCAGGGGGATATTTTATTCCAAAGTTGCAAGGAAAAAGCCAGGTGTTCCAGGGAGAGCTTGGATCTTGGCCAACCTGCACCAAACAGTCTGAAAGTGGGCTGTTCTACTGCTGCAGGTATTGTCTAGGGTCATGCAAAATCATCTTGTTGGATGTGGAATAAGTAGTTGCTCATGGCTGTCTCTGATAGTGTCCTTGTTTTTTTTCTTTCCCCTCTGATTCTTCCGGAGATTGCTGCAGCCAATTTAGCCAGTTTAGTTGCTGGGGTAGAACTGGACTTCTGTGCACAGGCAGTGTAGGAGCACAAATGTGGGGATGTGTGGGCAGGTCACTGAGACTTGTCTGAATCTTGAGTGTTTGTCTTTCCAGTGCATGGTGCTGATTGGAGACACAGATGTCCATATGAAACTCTCTGCTCAGAAAGGCCATTGCATTTCTTCCCCCCAACAATTGTTGTTCTGGTGTCTTGCAGGCACAGAAGAATAAGGCAGGATGGATGTGTATGACCCTCAGACTCTGGGTGTTATGGTTTTCGGAGGTTTTATGGTGATATCAGCCATCGGGATCTTCCTGGTGTCCACCTTCTCCATGAAGGAGACATCTTATGAGGAAGCCTTGGCCAAGCAACGTAAAGAGCTTGAGAAGACCCAGCAGCAGAAACTAGAGAAAAAGAAGAAAGAGAAACCCGTTGAGAAAAAAGGAAAAGCAAAGAAAAAGGAAGAGAAACCTAATGGAAAGATCCCAGAGCAACAGTTGACTCAGGAAGTGACAGACCCTCCCAAGGATGTGGTTCTTGAGCCTGCTGTGGTGCCTGAGCCTGTACCAGTTGAGTCTCCAGTTGCAGCAGTGCCAGTTGTCCCCCAGGAAAAGGAGAAACCTGTTCCGTCACCTAAAGAGAAGAGGAAGAAGGAGAAGAAGGTGGCAAAGGTAGAGCCTGCTCCTAGCCCGGTGTTGGCTGCACCTCCTGTCAGTGTCCCTAAAAGTTCTCCCGTCTTGGAGGTGACCCCTAAGGAGGTTCCTGTTGTGGCTGTGCCACCAGTTGGCACACAGCAAAGTGCTCCGGTCATCGGCTCTGCCACTATCAAGAAAGCTGATGCACTTCTGGCTCATGAGGAGCAGAAGCATGATGGACCAGTCAAGAAGAAGACTTCATCCAAGAAAAAGAATGAGCCAGGTAAGGTGAACTCCCTCTGCATATATCCCGATTGAGTAAGCCAGGTGCTGTTAAGACTGGTCTATCCCATTCCGAGATCTCTTCAACCTCCTTGACCCCATAGCGTGGGGATTGGAACTAGATGATCCTTAAGGTCGCTTCCAACCCAAACCATTCTAAGGTTCTATGATTCTTCAGCATTGGAAACAGGACAGCTGTAGAAAGGCCATCTCTGGTGAGATGGACCCTGTGCACCACGGGGAAGATGAGCTGAAAAAGCCTCTACTGGACTATAGTTCTCTTTGGAGGCAAGTAGAATTGAAGTCAAGACTTTGACTTGTTTTCACCCTGTAATGTGTTGCCTCCTGATTGGGTACCTCTGCTTGGTGCTTAACTTGTTGGTCCAGCACACGGGTAGTGGAGAGTTAGGGGTTCCTCTTGGATTTGCTGTTGCATTTCAGGTCTCAGCAGATCCACACATGGGAATGAATGGGAGGTGTGTGTACCTGTCCTGGGAAAGGGATAACTGCCAAGGTGCTGGACATCTGGGTAGAAAGCCAAGATGTGTTGTCCTCATACACCCCTGATGGTTAAAAGTATAGAGGAGATGTACTTCTCTAGGGATGCACTTCTTTAACACTCAAAAACGTGGTCCTAAATCCAAGCTATAACAGCTGAAGGGATGTGGATGGGAGATGAACTTGTAAGCATTTGTTGAAGAGTTTTTTTGGCTGCTCCAACCTTAGATGCCCTTGGGTATGAAGTGCTGTTCCTGCACCTCCTAAAAGGCAAATGTGATTTCTTAGCTGCTCCTGTGGGTTTTTTCCAAGGAAAGCTATTGGCAGTATTTGTACCATGAAGCTGACTGCAGCTTGACCAAGGTGTTGCTGGCAGCCTTTCGGCAGCTATAGTTTCTCCTCCTCAAAGGCAAAAGCAACAAATTATCCTGTGTCAGATAGAAATGGGTGTTCACAGTGCTCAAAGATGCATGCTCATTGCTGTAACCAATGGCAAACCTGACAAGAAGGGCTTGGGATATTTTTCTCTTGTGTGGTTTGTTTCATTCACGTCTCCCGAGTCTCCTTGGGTTTCAGAAGTGGTTCTTGAGCCCCCTTGTCCTGCTGTGCTTTCCCATGGCAGCTTTGCCACATGGCTGCTTCTTGTTTCATTACTTTGTTCAGCGAGGCATGAGGTTTCTGACTCTGGACGTGGGCTTGGTGGCAGCACAGGGTTCCTTTTGCCGCAGCTCGGCAGGCTGCCCTGGCTCCGCTTGCCAGCTGCGAGGTGGGGTTCGCATCGTGCCTGCCTTCTGCAAGGCTTCCTTGTGCCACACTGCTGAGAGATGGGCAGGATTTCACTTGGTGGGTCTCTGCACCCAGCAGGACTGAGCCAGGGGATGCAGTGTGCTGTCCTGCATTTGTGCAAGTTGCCAGTGTGAGTGAAGTGTGAGCCAAGCATTGGGCCCTGGTTGCACAAGACAGAGGAGCTGCCCCGGCTGTGCTGCTGGGAAGTGGCTGTGGCTGGTGACACTGACTCTGCTGCTGCCCTGCTAAATGGATCTCCCAGAAGCCAGGAGCAAACAGTGCGTGCTGAGGCTGCTAGCCATTCCTGGGTTTTGCTGCTCTGGTACTGTGGTGGGTTGACTGTGGCTGTCTGCCAGACACTCACCCAGCTCTCTCACTCCTCAACAAGATGGGGAGAAAATAAGATGGGGTCAAGGCAGAGACGGGGCAATCACTTAGCAATTACTGTCACAGGCGAAACAGACTCAACTTGGGGAAAACTGATTTATTTCTAATTAAAAGAGATGAGAAACAGAGACAAAATTAAAACAATACCTTCCTCCCCTGCCCTGCTTCCCAGGCTCAACTTCACTCCTTCTCTCTGACTCCTCTTACCTCCCCTTGCTGAGTGGTGCAGGGGGATGGGGACTGTGGTCAGCCTATAACAGCTCCTTTCTGCAGCTTCTTGCTCCTCACACCTTTCCCCTGCTCCAGTTTGGGGCCTTCCATGGGCTGCAGTCCTTTAGCATGAACCTGCTCCAGCATGGGCTTCTCTCCAGGAGCTGTAGGAGAACCTCCACTCCAACACCTGCGGTATCTCCTCCTGCTTCTTCTCTGACCTTGCTGCGTGGGGGATCCCAGCTTTCCATTTAAGAGACCCTGGTGTAAGTGGTTTTAGAGGCTCTGGAGCTGCTGGACTCCAAAATGCTTTTTCTTCTGTAATTTTCCAGGAAAATAAGCCCACTGGGCCATAGATACTGTGTGGGAATTCCTAAACCACTGCCCACCATCCTCTATCCATCGTGACCGTGTACATTGTGGTCCTACAACAGCATCATGGTCCTCAGCTTTCCCAGGCTAGTAGAGGGGTAAGGGAAGTGTTGGAGTCATGTTCCCTTAGCAAAAAGCTGGAACAAACCTGCTTGGTGAAAAGTGGGAGATGACCTTGCTGCACTCTGCATCACTGGCACCACAGCATGGGGTGACACCCTTCAGCAAGGCTCTACTGTGGTGCGGACCAGTTTCTGATGCCCAACACTTCTCTGCTTCCTGACATTGCCAGACCATGCCCAGCTCCTGCTGAGAATCACTCACTCTTGTGGAGTGTGATGGCAGGGTGCAGGGACCAGAGTAGAGCCAGGAAGAGGTGACAGCTGGCTCAAGGAGCATGTGTGTGGTGAGTGGTATCTCCAGAACTTTTCATACTGCTCTCACTTAGAGAAGTGTCAAACCTGATTGTGGAAATCTGACTGGATGATGGTTGGAAATGAAGCCAACTGAGATGATGCTATATCTCTCCTGTTGTCCCCAGCAGTCCCAACCCCTCTTCTCTGCTCCCTAGCACCTACAGATTCAGATGGGCCCCTCTACCTGCCCTACAAGACTCTTGTGTCCACTGTCAGCAGCATGGTGTTCAGTGAAGGGGAGGCCCAGAGGCTCATCGAGATCCTGACGGAGAAAACAGGCATCATCCAGGGCACGTGGCACACGGTAGGGCTGCCAGCGCCGTCGTGGCCACATGCTACCAGGGCTCTGCCTCTCTGCCAAGCCTTGGGAGGTGTGAGGGGAGGGAAGACACCCCATTTTCAAGCAGGCTGGCCCTGAGGCTCAGTCTTGGAGACCAGAGCTGAATTTTCCCCTGGAGCAGAGGGCAGGATCATGTGCGTGTGGGGTGGTGGGAATGGGTCTGAAGGTGGTGGTCCCCACTGATGTGCCACTCCATGCTGGCAGGCCATGCAGAAGGGTGACCCGGTTGCTGTCCTGAAACGTCAGCTGGAAGAGAAGGAGAAGCAGCTTGCTGCTGAGCAGGAGGATGTGGCTGCTGCCAGAAACAGGCTGCGGGAGCTGAGCAAGGTAAGCACCATGTGACTCTCTTGGCTTCCCTGGTGTGGGCTCTGCTTGTGGTGGCTCACCATGTGCCTCCTCCCCCTTGCAGGTGAAGTCCAAGGGCTCTCTGGGCCCTTCACCTGTTAGCTGTTTTCTTCCCAAAAGGGGAAGAAGATCCCTACCTGACCTCCTCCCCTGGGCCTGATCCAGCCTGGAGAGGTGCCAGCCAAAAGAGCCACAGGGTAGTGCCCGTTGGCAGCCATGGGAGAAGCTGGGGAAAGCCCTTTCCCGTAGGACATTTCAGCTTTCTGCTGCTTCAGGGAGAAAAGCAAATCCCTTCTCATTTCTGCCCGGATCCCCTGAGCTGAGAAGGTGCTTTTGTAAGGAGTGTGATCCTACTTACACTGCCCTTCCCAGACTCAGCTCTCTGCCTCCACCTCTTTTTGGGCGTTGAAGGTAGAACAGCCCCCCGCCATGCTGAACTTGTGGCTGGCAAGTCCATCCGCTTAATTTTCCTCTTTGACCCAAACTTTATGTGATGTTATTGGTCGTGGCGGGGGCAGATAAAATTCCAGGCTGTCTTACTCCTTTCTCTTAGCTGGCCCAATATGGAACAACAGTGGCATCCAGTGGCCACAGAGCCCAAAACAAAATGCAGGAGGAAATGTAAGTGCTAAACGTACCTGGGCATGGGGGCAGCTCTGAAAGGGCTAAACTCTATAGTCTTCTGTGCTAGGAGGCCACTGGTTTCTCATCCCCCTTAAAGTGGGGAAACCTGTATGCTGAGGACTAACAGGGTGACTTCTCTCCTTGAAGGAGCTGGCAGCTGAGCGCACCAAGGCGGTGGCTGTCGAGAGCAAGCTGAAGGAGCAGCTGCTGGCCCGTGAGCGGGACATCGCGGCGGTGCAGGCACGCATGCAGGCCAGCTACCAGGACCACATCGCTGAAACGCAGCAGCTCCAGGGCAAGGTGAGCCCCACACTGTGCTCTGCAGCTTTCCTCTCTAGCTGCCAGATGGCTTCTGGTGGCAGACACATGGTCTTTTGGAGAAGACTGAGCTGTGCAAGAGGACAAGAGCCTCAGGGAGGGGCGAGCCCCTGCAATGTTCCTGGGCTGTGGAGCTTCAGGGAGAAGAGACACATGAGAGCATCCTCATGGGATGTCGCATCCCCAGGGACTCATCAGTAGACATGCTTCTGTGTTGCCAGTCCCTCTTGTTCATCTTGTGGGCTTCACAGGGAGAGCAAAGGGGCCAGTGGCAGTATTAACCCCTGTTGGGCTCCTCTAGATCCGGACCCTGCAGGAACAGCTGGAGAACGGCCCCAACACGCAGCTGGCTCGCCTGCAGCAGGAGAACTCCATCCTGAGGGACGCGCTCAACCAGGCCACCAGCCAGACGGAAAGCAAGTAAGGCTTGGGTGAAGGGCAGAGCCTGGGGCTGCCCTCTGGCAAACCCTGGGGTTGGCTGACCATCGGGCTTGGCAACCCCCTTTCTCAAAGGTGCTTCTACAGACACCCCAATGAGCTGGAGGTAGAGGATGGAATGAGGGAGGAAGAGCTTGCTAAATGGCTTTTGGTGGGGTGCCAAAGGAAACAAGGATGTTCTTCCCAAGTGGAAGGGCAGGGGTATCCCTCTGCTGTGGGATCTCCTGTGCTGATGCTAGAGCCAGCAGGTGGTGGAGAGGGGACAAGAAGGCACTGTGGCACTTTCTCCCCATAGGGAAGTTCATACTCTCAAACTTGAGAAGAAATGCAGCTGGCTCATTGATGGGAGTGATGCTGCAGAGAATGGAGACCAGTCCACTGCATGCAGAACAAATAGGAGCTAGGTAGAAGAATTTCACTTTATAGAAAGTCTGAAATGACTGGTGATTAACAGCAGTCAAATAATTACAGAGTGGACTCCAGCTGCTTGGAGTGCTTCCTCTTGTGTCTGGGAACACAGATCCTTGCGTCCTCTACTTCATAAGAAAGGAATGTCTCCTGTGACTAAAACGTGGCTTTTCTAAAGTGATTTGTCAGCTCTTTCCACCCCCTCCCTGAAGGACCAGGCATGTCCTGGAAACAGGCAAACGAAGCCGTTGAGGTGTTTCAAGTCCTGTATTGGGCCCGCAGGAGGATGTGTTCCCCACCAGGCAACATCAGTGAGGCTTGACTGACCTCTGTGCTAAAATAACCCTCCTTCTGTTGGTGCAGGCAAAATGCTGAGCTGGCCAAGTTACGGCAGGAGTGCAACAAGCTGATGAAAGAGCTGTCTGAGAAATCGGAGGTACTGCAGCAGGAGGAGCAGCAGAGGAAGAGCTGGGAGATCAAAGCAGTGGCCTTGGAGAAGCAGACCGAGCAGCTGCAGGTCAGGCAGGCACCAGCAAACCTTCTGCCCTCACAGGGATGGGCTGGATGGCTAAATT